CCATTGGAAAGTACTACTGAGGAAGTTCTGTCTAGAGGTATTAAGTATGCTTTGCCAAATAGTAAGAGCTTCACTGATGAGGTTTTAGCAGAGGCTAATAACTTTACTAACCGATCAGCAGAAGAAACTAGAAGTGAGATTAAAATAGAGGTTACCCCTCTAATTAATAATTAATATAGAATCATAAAATAAGTATAGATGTGTTAATAATATCACAGTGAAGCTTAGACAACATGAACAAATATTTATGAAAAGTAGACAAAGGAGGACGAGTGGTAGTAATGAAAATGACCGATTATACATAAAAGAAGATGCTGGGTTTATCTGATGTCGATACGTATATAATTTTAACTAAGGACCCTACAGAAACACTAAAGTCGAGACTTAAGAGTTGCCTGCATCAATGCGTTAATAGTAGAGAATTGGAGAAATGGAAAATGAATGCACTTCTCCAATGTGGCGCTAGACCTCATAATGCTTAGGGTCTGCCAAAAATCCACAAAGAGGGGTCTCACTCAGGTTTATTGTAAATAATAAGAGTGGTGTGATGCATAGAACATCACTTAAAGTTGATCTCAGGTTTTTGGAAATTTTCAATAAAGAATTTCTATGACTTTATAAAGTTAATAGACAAGCAAACAATAGAACAAGAAAATTTGCTTATAAGTTTCGATGTAGTATCGATATAAACGAATGTAAGTGGGACCATACGGGCTTTAGTATTAATCTTAGCTCTACATTTAGAGATAATATTAGTAAATAGGATGAGCAAGAAGTCCATCATGCGATCGACGAACTTAATAATGAATAGTACCCATTTTATATTTAATGGTAAATTGTACGAACAAACAGGAGATCGTGTTTGTCTCCAGTTTTAGTAATAACTGCATGGCTCAATTGGAAGTCAGGCTTTTTTAAGAGTCCCTCCTGGTTCCGAAACTTTGGTCAGATATATGGATGATTACTTTGCTCTATGACAGCATGGTAAAGAGTGTTTTGATGATTTCCTTGGTTTAATGAATATAGTGGATAAGGCGATTAAATTCACTATGAAGTTAGAAAAAGAGAATTAGCTAGCCTTTTTGGATTCCCTAGTTAGTAAATAAGGAAGCAAACGGGGTAGAGATGTATATAGTAAACCCACAAATGCTGGTTTCATTCCTAATTTCTTCTCGAACCATACTTACGGTGTTAAGGTAGGCGTAATGAAATCAATGATAATAAGGAGTTTACGCCTAGTGGACGTAAATCTTCAAGAACATTAGTTAGGAAGGCTTAAAAAATCTTTTTGAAATACCTTTCATTTCGATTGAAGAGGCGAGTGGAAGGGATTCGTAAGTTGGTTCCACTGGAGGCTGTAGGGGGTTGCCTTGGAGCTTGGCTTGTAGATATGTGCGAATAGGTCCTCGGCGCACCGCCCTGCGACCCCGATGAATCGTTGCTAGGCTTTCTTCCGTCATGTGACGTACCTCGTCAGAACAGGACACCATGTTTAAAGAGAATTCACAAAAAATGCCAAGGCAAGAAAGGTGGCCGGCTTCAAACCTAATTCCTTCTTATATTCCAGTTTGGTCCACTTATGCATCTCATGTTTTGGTTGGATGTTTTATACTTTGCCTCTATATTTGCTCATAAGTTTAGTTAAGTGGTTGTAGATGACGCGTGAAGTGGATACAGATGAAGCGTAAAATGGGTGCAATGGAAACAGAGCATTTGCATCCAACCCCTTAAGTGTGGTTAGAGAAGTAATTCAAAAGGAAGCCTACATTAGTGAGAAGCTTGATTCATAAAACACCATGATTTTTTCGTAACCAGTTAAAGCAAATCTCCGAGACGTGGAATGTTTTAATCAAGACTTCATATGAATTTGTTAGTTTAATCGACGAGCAGGAGATAGAAAGTGGGGATTTACTGGTAAGTTTTGATTTTGAATCTTTTTATAATAACATCACTGAGATGATGCTATACAGGCCTTGCAATCTACACTAGACCAACATTCGGAGAGTTTAATAAGCACGAAGTAAAGTAAAGGGTTAATAATGGTAGTGACCAACCTAGCGATGTACTGTACATATTTTAATTTTTAATAGTAAACTGTACGAACAAACATGAGGTTTATCTATGGGATCGTTTTTATCACCAATTTTAGCAAATAGTTGCATGGCTCAATTTAGAGAACATTTAATTCAGGAGACACTTTTAGTTCGCCATATTGACGACTGCTTTGTTATTTAGCAACATGGAAAAAAAATCTAGAGAATTTTCTTGGTTTGATGAACACGAGCGATAGGAAGAGGAAATTCACAATCAAGTTAAAAAAGGAAGGTGGTTTAACTTTTTTTGATGTCCTAATTAGCAAAGAGGGGACCAGATTGGGTAGAGTTGTATATAGGAAACCCACCATTACCGGCTTCCTTTTGAATTTTTTATTCAATCACACTTAGGAGTTTAAAGTAGGAATTATGAAGTCTATTTTAATAAAGAGCCAGCATCTGGCAGATGTTAGACATCGGGAATGAGGCCAATTCTGGTTGAAAATAATTATCTAGGATGGCTGGTTGGCAACCAATTTAGAATACTGTTGAATAGAATGAAGGGAACTACATGTTTGGGGCTAGATAAAAGGATAGAGCACTCTACCAGGATCCTTAAGCTGTCATCGTGTAATCTGTCGAAGAAGATAGACGAATCACTGAGGAGGTGGGACATCAGGACCATTTATAATGAGAAAATAACACTGTCCTCGGTATCGTCTTCTTTTCGAGAATTCTCTGACTCGCTCTACAGATCGAGTTGTTACAAGATTTTGTGTAGATGTTGTAGAGACCTGTAAGCCCATGGAAAAGGGGTTATTCGAACACAAAACGGCTTACAAGGGTATGTAGGTGCAAAAATCGGAATTGGTCGAACACATGGCTTGCACAGGGCACCAGATAGATTGGTGTAATGCCAAACGCGTAGCTTGATATGGAGACTGTACCATTAGACGAAAGAATAGGGAGGCGATATACATCAACAAAACAGCCAGCACCCTGAATAGACAGAATGAGTGTAGGAAGTTGAGCGGAAACTACTTGTGCCTGTTGGATAGGTTTAGAGGGAGAGAGGAGGGAAAAGTGAAGTACCACAATGCAAAAGAAAGACGCTTGATTGGGCTGGAATTTGGTTTTAACTCTCATACACACTTATTTCAAGAGCAAGGCACTGGCACAACACGTGTGCAATGGGATGCAATCACATGCGGTAACATTGTAGGATCAAAGGCATACATGTTTTAGGGGAGGATGCAGCTGTTTATTTTCAATTGCACTCATTTCACGCTTCATTTGTAGCCACTTAACTTAACTTATGAGCAAATATAAAGGCAAAGTATAGGACATCTAACCAAAACATGAGATGCATAAGTGGACCAAATTGGAGTATAAGAAGGAAGTAGGTTTGAAGCCGGCCACCTTGCTTGTCTTCAAGTTTTTGGTGAATTATCGTTAGACATGGCGTCCTGCTCTGACGATGTCCGTCATATGACGGAAGAAAGCTCAGCACGGCATAATCGGGGTCGTAAAGTAACGCCAAAAGTCGAAGGCAATCCTCCTGCGATATTCAGTGAGACCAATCTACGAATCCCTCCAACCCACCTTCTATAACGAGATGAAAGATACGCCAATATCAAGGAAAGATTGTAACTGCTGATTCATGCTCTCCCCATCAGCATTGACTAATATGGCCTGGATGCATAATTTAACAGCGGTAAAAGGAGAATTCTAGGGATAAACTGCGAATTATATAAGCAATTATAAAAGATCATCATTTTCTATGGCTGAGCAGACAGGTGAAAGAGAAAAGACTTTCCAAAGTAGGAAAGTGATTCACCACCACACTTTCTTATTTTAATAAAAATAAAGATACGTCGAAGGGGGTATTTGCATCGAACATATTTTTATAGCCTTACTATAAATCTATTTAAGATCGAAGGCTGATAGTCAAACTGTAAGGTAAGTGGAGTAGACTTGTGATCGCCGTGTCTCTGGCAGACTTATTATATCTCTAAGATATTCCCTGAATGCATGTGTTTTGCTTCCATTCGCCTCTTCAAACGAGATGAAAAGTACTCCAGCATGTGTCTCATCCTATCCATGCTCTTAACGTAAACATAAGGCCTACTCACATTATCTTTGGAAAATTCAAATG